TTAATACATCAACATCTACTATCCCCAAAACCCCAAAACCCCATCAATCAAGGATTTAGTTCTAGTAAATAATTCTTAATAGCAACATTAAGATAATAAACACATAAATTAGTAATTTTTCATTCATTATAGATTTGGCGATAGTAGATGTTGATGTATTAAAATCAATATTTATTTTTGGATCCCACTCCTGAGCTATCTGCTTGAGTTGTGGTAGTAGACCCTAGTCTCTATGTGAAGAGAATTTTTTACTCCTTAAGATAAGGTGTTTGATTGGATGAATTAACTTTCGCACTTTCATACTATTTGTCATAGGAAAGGGGAGAAGTATCTTTTGTTCCCACAGTTACTCTTTAAAAGTTGGTGTAAAGTTTGTTAGTAGGAGGATTTGGTTTTGAATTTTTAATGAATTTGCTGATTTTTATAGTTTCTGATCCTGATTAAAGAAATGGATTTTGACCTGATGCTTCTGAGGGAGATGTTTACTCAGGGTAAGTTAGAACAACATTCTCATCTTCATTTTCTTCTTCAAGATCATTGCCATGGATATCAATATACTCTCTGTTTTAGAGTTCCTCAATATTTTGTTCGATTTCCTTTTCACATTAGACTAGCAAATCCTTAAACCATTCATGCCTTATTGCCTCTTCACATGTTATTCTTTTGGTGGGATCCATATTTAGGCATCTTATGATTAAGTCCATCATTAACTATTCATCTCTTGATAGCTTTTCATACATCTCTCTGTTTTTCATATTTTCAGTAAACCTGTTGAGGAAAATGAAATGGTAAAGAGAGGTTGAGTTTTTAGTAATTTGCTTCAACCTAGACTAGTGACTCCTAATGATTTTGTAACCTTCGTTGATATTGAAAAATTGGGCTTTCTTCTTGCCCTTATCAATCATATATTGAGGTGGATTACCACACAACAAGACTTGCAGTTCCATCAACTCGTTCTCGTCTTGTGCAGGGAAAATTGGTCTTCCACGAAATAGCTCTGCTATGATACAACCTAGGCTCCACATATCAACTGAATAATCATAAGGTATCCCAAGGATTACCTCTGGAGCTCTATAAAATCTAGATTGAACATAGGTAAATGCATTAAGGCCCTTGGAACAAGATGAACCAAAATCTATTATCTTAATATCCTTTTTCCTTGAATCTGAGAACATTAAATTTTCTGGCTTAAGATCACAATGAATAACGTCACAGTGCTTGACATATATCAATCCTTGAAGGATCTAAAATACCATTGGCCTAACTTTATCTCTTATACTATATCCCTTAAACTCATTCTCTTTTAAGTCCTAATATAGATTCTTTCCGAGTAGTTCAAATACAAAACACTATACATTTAATTAAAAACCTAAAGTATCTTACATAATGATTCCTGAAGAGAAAACTATCAATATATTTAAGTATCCTTGTTTTGAACAATCTTAGAGTGTTCACAATTTCTTCCTCATCACTTATTGTATTTCTAAGTCTTTGCATTATTTATGCTTCTGCTCTACAGGTGTTATGATGACTAGTTTAGTTTCTATTTATTTTTACTGCTACTTCAAGACCAGTTTTATGATCTTTGCATCTAAGCACTTAACCGAAAGCTCCTCTATCAAGTTCTTGTAAAATCTCGTATCTGTAGAATAAATGATCTCCGATGAATACTTTATAAAAACCACCTTTTCTGTCGAATCCATAATTGTCATCGATTGTACTCAGAATACTCTTATATTTTCTACTCTCTTTAGCTTCCAATTTACCAATGTAGTATATTTCCGAAAATTTAAGAATCTCTTATTTTTCGTAGGGAATCAGCAAATTTTAAAACTGCTTAGCTATTGCGTTACCTGATTTATTATTGAAATTTGAAGCTGAGGATGCTAGACCAAAGTTATCTGTATAAGCTTGCTTTCTTCTTTTATTAGGACTAGATCCATTTGCTTTCATAGTTTAACAGCCCTCATTATCATTTTGGAACACTTGCTAATCAATGACCTTTGACAGTTCTCTGTCTTCGTCTTTAGTACTTTTATGCTTTGCTAATACTCCACCTCCACCGATCAAATTATCATGCGACTTTCTGTTAGCAAAAGGATTATCGAACATACTCTTTTAATCATCATTTGAGTTGATACCACTAAATTCATTTAGTATGTTCTATCCGCTATTATCATAAGTTTGATGAATTTAATTGTATTTTTGGTATCTTTTAAAATTCGCTTTTAAACTACTTCCATCATTTAGGGGAGATTAAACCTCCGTCGCATCATGGCCATTCATTAATTATTAAAATTTAGTCTTCATGGTTTATAAAAGTGATGGTCTGCTAGTTACTGTTTAGGACTAGGCTAAATTTGGCATATTATTTATGATTTGGAAAGTAACTTAATCTGAGCTGTCTATGCTTTGATGATCTGACAGGCATATCTCACTTTTTTATGATTTGAAATCTGAAACACCACCTGCTTTGATATTTGGCATATTTTGGAAATTATTTTCTGAGAACTAGCCATTAAGATCTTTCTTAGCTGAATTCATTTGAACCAATTTCAGTTCGCAAGATACTATCTTAGAATCTGTATGAAGTTGTTTATCTGGAGATGTGTTGCCTCTAGTTTTGCTTTTAACAAAATTACGAATTTTCGAATACGCTAAAATAAAATTAAATCTATTGTCATGGTAAAAGTAATAACTGTAATAAATGATATGCCTTAGCATTCTCAGTAATCTGACTTACCATTAAAAGAAACCTCCTTTAAAGACTTTAAATCGAATTCGTATAAACTCTGTCGTCTTCCCTCCTATTAATAGTCTAGTATAAAATTAATCAGGATTGTATTTATTTGCAATGATACTTACGTTGCTATTTACTTTCATGATTTTCACTTCTAGCATCTGAATTCATGAGGTTTTAGTGTATTGAATTAGTTTTAGAGTGAGCTTGGGTGTAATTTTCGATCTTGACAGGGGTTATAATGTCTAAGAGTTAGTTTTGATGCCTTTTCTCGCTGAACAGATGCGAGTTTACCTATAATCGTTAATTAATATGAGATTTGGATTTTTGTGATTACTTTGACCTCAGGAGTCTTAAATGTCAAATTCCTTGTAATCCCCTCCTCACTCTGAATTATGGGTTTCATGGGACTGAGATAAGTCAACTGCTAACTGTGCTTGTAATGGGGGACTTGCAATAGCTGCGGATTGCTCTTATTATTCAATGTTTCTGTTTGTCTCTTTGCCTCTAATTTCCCGCTATATCCTTTCGTTCTTTCTTTTAACAATTTTCCAGGACCTCCCATTGTTCTCTGTATGGAAGTAAATTACTCTGATTGTTGTAAGAAGTTTTTACACTTGTTTGATAAGAGGTAGACAAGCTTGATATGTTGTTTTGGCGTTGATTCTGCATGCTGCTCTTTTTAGATCGTAAATTAATATGTATATATTTAAAGTTTAATGCCTGAAATTATTCTGAAATCAGAATAATACTGCTACAAAGCATCAATAAAGTATTTTTTTATTTATTTCAATTTTAATCTTATTATATTCTGATGGGGTTTTGGGGTTTTGGGGTTTTGGGG